CAGGAGGCAGCTGATCGATGTTTCTCTCTCATCGATGTTTCTCTCTATCTCTCTCCCTTCCTCTCTGTAAAAAAAAATCAATAAAATATATAAAATAAAATAAAAATAATAATAATGTACTTACTTTTTGGAGGGCTAGATGTTCTGAGGAAAGCATGGTTTCTAGAGGTAAGCAATTCCGAAGATCTTCTGCTATGCTTTTCAACATACTGTCATTATTATCGTGAGTGAACTCATCAAAATCTCCTGGAACAAAAAAAGGAAAAAAATAGCTTTTATGGTTGTAGTCAGGTAGCTGGAGAAATCAGTGAAAAGTTACAAAGCAGGCCAATAGCAGCACAAGGAAATAACCTAGGTTTTTGTGCCTCTAAATCAGCAGTTCTCAACCTGTGGGTCGCGACCCCTTTGGGGGTCGAACGACCCTTTCACAGGGGTCGCCTAAATACATCCTGGATATCAGATATTTACATTACGATTCATAACAGTAACAAAATTACAATTATGAAGTAGCAACGAAAATAATTTTATGGTTGGGGGTCACCACAACATGAAGGACTGTATTAAAGGGTCGCGGCATTAGGAAGGTTGAGAACCACTGCTCTAAATAAAGGTACTGCTCTTTTCCACTATACCACTCTGTGTCCCTACATACAAAGGTTCTTTCTCTGCATAATTTCCCTTTGAGCAACACTGGTATTTATAAAGATTTATTACTTAGTTCTCTGAAGTGATGTGGGAAGGAAAGTCTTTTAGCTCTTTTTTCTTTCCTCACATATATAGTATAATCTAAGCTGGTGTTTCAAAGTATTTCTAGGAGGAGGCTGAATATAAATTCTAGAAAAACAAAAATAGTATTGCCCTTACCGGTTTGGCTCAGCGGATAGAGCATCGCCCTGCGGATTGAAAGGTCCCAGGTTCGATTCCGGCCAAGGGCATGTACCTTGGTTGCGGGCACATCCCCAGTCGGGGGTATGCAAGAGGCAGCTGATCGATGTTTCTCTCTCATCGATGTTTCTAACTCTCTATCCCTCTCCCTTCCTCTCTGTGAAAAATCAATAAAATATATATTTTTTTAAAAA